CGGGCGAGCGGGCGAGCGAGGGAAGGGAGGTCGCCGCGCCCCTGGCTCCGGCCAACCGCCCAGCGGTGTCAGAGGCGGCAGAGGGCCCGCCGGGCCAGTGAGGGAGAGGGTCAACGGGGAGCACCCCAGGCCATGGGGGTCGGAATAAGAACCCGCCCCGCCCCCGAAGCGCTTTCAGGCCCCTGGAATTTGCCCGCAGGTCTCGGGAGAGCCGCCTTCGCTCTGCTGGGCGAGGGTGGGGAATAGCCGGGCGGCGAGGAGGCTGGAGGCTGCGAATAAGGGCACTTTGTCCCACCAAATGATCGGGCGGGTTTGGTAGGCGTAAGAAAAGCTCTGTTAGATCGAGCCTAAGGCTCGTTCGGCATTTCCAACTGTTTGCCTGATGGATGGATGGATGCGTGTGTGTTTTGTGCCTGGAACATGCATTGCCTCCAGTTCCTTCAAGAGGAAAACTCCACCTTGGACAAATTCGCCTGCAAAAACGGAAAGGAAAGGGGGTCCTCGCCTTGCGTCATTCAATGCTTCCCAGGGAATATTCTGCCGGTTAACTGCGAGATGCGTGTGCAGAGCAGATGGGACCCGGCAAGTCACGACTGCAGCCTTCAGGGGAAGATAAGAGTCGGTACCGCTCTGGAGAAGATAATTACACACATACCCCTTGCAAAAAAATGTTTCCTAGCACATTCCTCCGGAGAGAAATAATATCCCTAGAACAGAGGCAAGCTCCAGACTGTTAGCTGGATGACTCTATATACTTCACTCTCTCTTACGTATGAGTGGATTATGGATAAGTTATATGTGAAGTAAAGGTTCCCCTTGACATTTAGTCCAGTCGTGTCCGACTCTAGGGCGCGGTGCTTATCCCCGTCTCCAAGCCACAGAGCCGGCGTTTGTCCGAAGACAGTTTCCGAGGGTGTGAGGGCTCCATTGGGCTATGTTTGTGGACTTGCACGCTCAGGTTATTACAAAAAAAGAAAGGAAGGAAGCCTTGACTGATTTGAAAGGTGCCCTTCGAAAATCAGGTAGCAGATTTTAACACCACCACCATTCATTATTTTTAGATACAAGTGCTTTTGCCTTGAGAGATGCGTTTTTCTCCCTTTCTGCCCTTACAGGAGAGAATGCAGACATTCTGCTAAGATTATACCACATATATGATCTGAAAACAAAGATAATTTTCCCTTCCTTTAGGACAAGATCTACAGGTCGATGAGAACAAAACCGTATCCAATGGGAGATTAGTTTGATGTCTTTATTAGAACCAGCTAATACTCCTCAAGGGTATAGAGACTCTCAGAGCAGATAGAGTTCTGTGAATTTCCTGTTGTTCCTAACAAAGGTATTTAATAATCTTAGAACTGCAGAGTTGGAAGAGATCCTATGGATCACTGAGTCCAGCCCTTGCCAGGGAGGTACAGTTGAACTCCTAACTGAGCTATCCATCCCCACCTTTGGATTTCTGATATTTTTGTTCTTATGGGTCAACCTTTATTGGTTTCTCAAAATTATTGTTTTATTTATGCACTAATTTCTTCAATCTTGAAGAGATCTGCTGTTAAGGTGCTACATTCAATATGCCAGCAAGTTCGGAAAACCCAACAGTGGCCAGAGGATTCGAAAAGATCAGTCTACATCCCAATACCAAAGAAGGGCAGTGCCAAAGAATGCTCCAACTACCGTACAATTGCACTCATTTCACACACTAGCAAGGTTATGCTCAAAATCCTACAAGGTAGGCTTCAGCAGTATGTGGACCGAGAACTCCCAGAAGTACAAGCTAGATTCCAAAGAGGCAGAGGAACTAGAGACCAAATTGCTAACTTGCGCTGGATTATGGAGAAAGCCAGAGAGTTCCAGAAAAATATCTACTTCTGCTTCATTGACTATGCAAAAGCCTTTGACTGTGTGGACCACAGCAAACTATGGCAAGTCCTTAAAGAAATGGGAGTGCCTGACCACCTTATCTGTCTCCTGAGAAACCTATATGTGGGTCAGAAAGCAAGAGTTAGAACTGGATATGGAACAACTGATTGGTTCAAAATTGGGAAAGGAGTACGACAAGGCTGTATATTGTCCCCCTGCTTATTTAACTTATATGCAGAAGACATCATGCGGAAGGCTGGACTGGATGAAACCCAAGCCGGAATTAAGATTGCCGGAAGAAATATCAACAACCTCAGATATGCAGATGATACCACTCTGATGGCAGAAAGTGAGGAGGAATTAAAGAACCTTGTAATGAGGGTGAAAGAGGAGAGTGCAAAAAACGGTCTGAAACTCAACATCAAAAAAACTAAGATCATGGCCACTGGTCCCATCTCCTCCTGGGAAATAGAAGGGGGAGACATGGAGGCAGTGACAGATTTTATTTTCCTGGGCTCCATGATCACTGCAGATGGAGACAGCAGCCACGAAATTAAAAGACGCCTGCTTCTTGGGAGGAAAGCGATGACAAATCTTGACAGCATCTTAAAAAGCAGAGACATCACATTGCCAACAAAAGTCCGAATAGTCAAAGCTATGGTTTTTCCTGTTGTGATGTATGGAAGTGAGAGCTGGACCATAAAGAAAGCAGACTGCCGAAGAATTGATGCTTTTGAATTGTGGTGCTGGAGGAGGCTCTTGAGAATCCCCTGGCCTGCAAGGAGAACAAACCTATCAGTTCTAAAGGAAATCAACCCTGAGTGCTCACTGGAAGGACAGATCCTGAAGCTGAGGCTCCAGTACTTTGGCTATCTCATGAGAAGAAAAGAGTCCTTGGAAAAAAACTTGATGTTAGGAAGGTGTGACGGCAAGAGGAGAAGGGGACGACCGAGGATGAGATGGCTGGACAGTGTCTGCGAAGCAACCAACATGAATTTGATACAACTCCGGGAGGCAGTGGAAGATAGGAGGGCCTGGCGTCCTCTGGTCCATGGGGTCACGAAGAGTCGGAAACGACTAAACACACACACAATTTACTCAATTGATTTATTATCATTGATATGATCAATAAACTAACATTTTACTTTAATCAGCTGACCTAGCTCTAAGCTGTGTTAAACGCTCTGAATTTATTTTGTCACTGTTGTTTTAAGATTGCCCACTGGATACTTTCCAACTGGCTAGCTATGTGAGGCTTCAGATGATGTCAGGGGTTAGTACTTAGGGGAAAGAGTGAGCATAGGGAAAAATATGGATCTACTCATTTATAGATCTGAGTTAATTGTATTTATTTGCTGTCTATCAGTGTTTTGTTATGCGCTGCCAAGTTGCTTCTCCCTTATGGTGACTGTAATAGGCTTTTGAAGGTATGCAGTCTGTTCAAGGAATGGTTGTCACCACTCCAGCGGCAAAGCAGGGATTTGAACCCAGGTCTCCTAGGTTCTAATCCAGCACTCTATCCATTATTGTGAGCAGGAGTAATTAAATGACTACCTTACGTCTTAAGTAACAGTGCTGAAATGAAGAAAACAAAGAACAGATTTATGTGTGTGGCAGGACTGAGCTTAATTCAGTTTTGGTTGTCACACCACATCAGACTTCTTTAATTTACACATAAGTCTTCTGTACCAAGCTCCAGTTGGTACAACCCAATTCTAGGAAACAACGTAGATTCTAGAAACCTTACCTGTGGGTAGAATGTGGAGACTTGAAGAGTGCGTGGTAGAGAGAATACTTTTGCTTTTTCATAGCTATTTGTCTCCCAGTACATTCTGTGACTATAAAAGGGGAAGCTGTATCTCAAAGAAGTTCTCACCTCCAAACAAAACTAGACCAGGTACTAATCCCATATCTAGAAGCAGTGCTCCCTCAAGTGGTGCAAGGCATCTGGATTGTAAGAGCACATTAAAAAAATGAAATGTGATTTATGGTTTGCAGGTCAGAGCGCTGAGATTATTTCACAGAAATGTAAGAGTAGAAAATATGAGTTTCCCTCAAAATTTCTTTTACTCTGCAGTGCCACTTGGAGTAATCCCTGTATATTCATAGCAGCTCATGACTAGGCCAGGAAGATGTGTCCCCACCAAATTATGTGGGTGAGGTACAGTGGTGCC